AATATAAAATAATTAAGCCAGGCGTTGGTGGTGCTCGCCTTTAGTCCCAGCACTCAGGAGGCACAGGCAGGTGGATCTCTGTGAGTTTGAGGCCAGCCTGGTCTACAGAGCTAGTTTTAGGACAGGTTCCAAAGCTACACAGAGAAACCCTGTCTAAAAAAACAAAACAAACAAACCAACAAAAAGAATAGAAAATAATTAAATAGGTACCACAAGTGATATAGCAACTTTGGTAGCAATTGACCTTGAAGAGTAATTCATGCAGTCTTTCTGCATAGGGTGTGACCTGCATAAAATATGTCAGAAACATATATGAACATATTGTGCCTTTACACGTTGTCAGAATCTATCGAATAACAAATTCACAAGCTGTAAAAGTTTCATCACCAGCAATTTGAGAAACAATCCCAATCTTCCTTGATAGCTGTCAGCAAGCACAGTTCCTTTTTTGTTTTTAAGAATAACAAAATAAAATGCAGTATGATAAAACAAAAACTATCACATTGAAGCTGGACAAGACAAACAGAAGAGGAAGGGCCCAAGAGAAGGCTCAAGATTCAGACCCCCTTGTCGACACACTCAGGCATCCCATACAAACACTAAACTGGAAGCCATAATATAAACGCAGAGGACCTGGTGCAGGCCCATGCAGGTCCTGAAACACAGATTCTTTTATTTTAGTATTAATAACTGATATTCTCTCAGGTTATACATTTTCTCTCTCTCTCTCTCTCTCTCTCTCTGTGTGTGTGTGTGTGTGTGTGTGTGTGTGTGTGTGTGTACACTCAAGAATTGGGTTCAGAATAGCTAAAAAGGAGTTAAAGAGGTCACAACAGAGTTCAGGGAGGTCGAGGAAGCTTCAGTATGGATGTAAGTAAGCAGCTGACAGAGACGCCATAAGAGATGCTACAGTGGAGATTGGCTGGAGGCACAGAACCAAGCTACAGGGCTGCCATGTTGAGACCTCAGTTGTCAACAGTGTTAGATGGCAGCCTCTTCATGAGATCAATGTGGGTATCCCTCACCCTTCTTTTTCCTAGTGTGGCCCATAAATTGTCAAGCCTGGTTTTGCCAGTATGGTTTCAATGTGCCCATGCATTTATATAGTTCCAAGCTACTTAGGTAACATCATGGAGTAGTATCTTTACTATAGGGTTAAGTTATCTATTAGTTTGTGCATCGTGGACAGCACGATGCTAGTGTCTACATGTGTAACTAGGTGCAAAGTCATTCTGCCCCTGCATTTGCACTCTAAAATGGAGCCAAATGTTGCTTGTTGAAATAGAAAAAGCATAGCCTGAAAGCTAATGTTCTACACAATTCTGAGCAACTTAGAGCAGAGCAGAGCAGAGCAGAGCCTGATCTCAACAAGCCAGCCTTGAGAGATACTGTTCTAGAGGAAGTTACCTGATAACTGAAAGCCAGAGATGGGGTGGTCATGCTCAGAAAGCTTGGCCCCTTACACGTGCTACTTGTAGCCTTAGTCTGTATTGTTTGGTTAAACTTATAGCAGAAGTATGCATTCTTTCAATGTTCCCCCCACCCCTTTCCACTCCTCCTTTTATTTAATATATGGTTGTTCTGATAGCACTAAGACCCTTTGTACAAGTGTAAACATGACAGAAATATGCAATGCATTAGTACATATACAGATACATGTAGCTAGTCATACAACTGTCCTGTACAACTATATTTTTACTCTAAATAGGAAACCTGAAAGCTACCTTTAGCTATCAGTAGTAAAAGTAGATGTTTGTAACGAGTATGGTTTTCTCCACCGGCTGCCTGGTCTTGTCCCACCACCACGCCAGCCCCAAATAACACACTGAGACTCTGTATTTGATATAATCTGTTGGCCTGGTACTAGTTTCTTATCGGCTAGCTCTGTCTTAAGTATTAACCCATTTCTGCTGATCTATGTATTTCTCTTACTGGGGAGCCGGTCGGCATTCTGCTTTTTCCAGACTCTCCATCTTGACTCCTTCCTACTTCCTCTTTCCTCCTAGTCCCGCCTATTTAGCCAACATTGGCCAACAGTGCTTTACTCATTAACCAGTATGAGAAACATATACAGAATGACATCTCCCATCTTCTGAGTATTTGCTTAAATGTGAGCATCTTGTAATCTTATCAAAACTGCATGTGCCCTAGTGCCTTCTATAATGAAGATACTCTCTAGGTGAGGGGCTCACCATATTTTAAACTCGTGTCTACCATGATTCTTATGATCAACAAGCATTGGAAACTCCAGTTAGATCCTTGTTACCAAGGACCTTAGAAAGTTGGAACAGTAACTGGGGTAAAATAAAGACAAAGGACAGTGTTCTAGGCAGAAAAAGCAAAACAGGGCGTTAAAATTTTCCCAATAACTCAGTGTAATGTCAAGGATTAAGTGGGGGAGGCAGGGGAATCACTGATACAGGCTGGAGAAATGGATCAACAGTTGCAAACATTGACTACTCTTCCAAAAGACCAACTCTCAATTCCCAGCATCCATATGGCAGCTTACAACCACCTGTAACTCCACATCTAGGAGATCTAATGCTGCCTTCCGGCTTCTCCAAGCACCAGGCACATGATGAATAGACATACATGCAGGCAAAACACCTATGCACATAAAAATAATATTAAAAAATTAAAAGATCATAGTCAGGCGGTGGTGGCACACGCCTTTAGTCCCAGCACTTGGGAGGCAGAGGCAGAGGCAGAGGCAGAGGCAGAGGCAGAGGCAGAGGCAGAGGCAGGCAGAGCTCTGTGAGTTCAAGACCACCCTGGTCTACAAGGGCTAGTTCCAGGACAGCCTCAAAAGCCACAGAGAAACTCTGTCTTGAAAAACCAAAAAAAAAAAAAAAATTAAAAGATCACAATAGTTATTAACTAATAACAGAATTCCCTCCGTATCTGTCCAAGGAAATGAGCTACCTTATATAAATAGGTAGTGCATAGCGTAACAAGACTCTGGGCATTCTCAGGGAGACTGAGACACAGGACAGTTTTTATAAACAAAAAAAAAAAAAAAAAAACAATGACAGATGCCAGGGATTTAGCTCAGTGGTAGAACACTGATTTAGCTGGTGTTGCAAGAAATTTGGGGATGCTACACAGTGAGTACCACAAGTTACAGGGGAAACTGATGTATCCTTTCAGGGTTCTTAGTCTCCATGATAAAAGAATTTAAGAACAAAAACAAAAAAATTTTATTAGTTTTCAAATGAAAAACCCCAGGGCAAGAACCATTACACTTCTTCATACATAAACATCTCAGGAGAAGAAAGAAAACTATGTTGTTTGTAAGCAGCCACATGGTGGAAGTCAGGATAGTTTCAGAGAAGAAACAGTAAAGGGGAAAAGAAAAAGAAAAAAGAAAACAGCACCAAGTGCCTGAAAAAGCATGCCCTTGATTCTGGCCAGTGGCTGAAAGAAATGGGAAATCCAGAAATGTAAAGCTATCCTTTTCTGAGTCATAACTCAGAAAATCAATAGCCTGGGCTGCTGCTCCATTAGCCAACTCCACTGAGGGTGGGGTTGACAGGAAGGAAAAATATGAGGCTTCTATAGAGCTCTGATCAAGAAAGACTACTGTGGCATTTCCCTCCCTGAAGCCAATAACCCTAACATCATTTAGGAGATGGGCTAAAATTTGGGAAGAGATAAACCTATTTACACCGTGAGAATCCAGAGATCCAGTTACAGAAGAGATCACTCTCTGCAGCTTTGATCACACCCTCAGGATTGTCTCCAGGCAAGGGTACTCTTTTAGGAGGTGATAAGAAACCAAAGCTCCCTTCCTTTTGGTATTCTTGGGAAAACCAGGTCATTTCTGGTTGTGTGGCTTTCCAGGTTCCCTGCCCTAAGCTGCATGCCCAGTCCTATCTCCCTTTCTTATTGCAAAACCAGGTTCTCAGCACCAGAAAAGACAAGACTAAGGGGTTTTTCAATTCAGATAGTTTTAAATATTAATCCTTGGCTATGTTAGCAATAACAGACCCCATATTTGCTGGATAGGGAAAACTTGCATAAGTGTTTCGTGTATGAGACTGTGGCAGCCTCTATGCAAACTTGGTATTCAAGCACTGCCTTTCGAGAAAGTTCCTCGCAAGCAACAACAGGTAAGAACTGTTCTAACTGTTCTTTCATATGGTTATGGTTGTAATCGTTGACAAACATTTTGATTATGACGACATCCATGTTTCTTTTAGAGGACTAAAAGGTTGTTTATTGTTTTGTTCTGTTCTTTTTTTTTTTTTTAAGACATACAGACCTTGTGTCTTTGGTGGGTGGTTTAGAGTGAGAGAGTTATGACATCGTGGGAAAGATTGGAGGAGGCAAAAAAAAAAAAAGTACCTTGCTGGATTAAGAACCTACACAGAAAGAGGGACTACAAGGTTACCTTGGTCTCCCAAGTCAAGACCAAGGTTTCTTCATGGCTTGTAGTAGGCACCAGCATTTAACAGCCACACGTTATATCGTTCCTATTGTTTCCTGTGCATTAGTCACAACTCCCTAGTGAAACAACACAATTAGCATCCTTGGAACTGAAGTATTTGACAAAGTTGCCCTAGGCTAAGGCTCTTACCCTACGCCTCCACAGAACACAGATCCCGGTTCCTCTACGCAGGCCCAGCCCTTAGCTGCCTGGAGCATAGGGCTTTGTCCTCTGCACAAGGTAATTTCTACAATTGGCTCATCAACTCCCGGCCCGCTCTTTGCAGCCTGGACGGCAGGAAGCTGTTAGAAGCCTCCTCGTCCACCAGGGGGCCGTCTCTGCCCGCTTTGCCTGTCGGGGGGGGAGGGGGAGGAAGCGCCAACATCCGGGACCTCGCCGCGGGAAACTAAAGCACGCGGCGTGATTAGACCCTCCGCGGCCGCCGTAGCGGTCTCCCCCGCAGTAAACAGGAAGTAGGAGACTGGTAGCGCCGCCGAGTTGAAGAACACCAAAGGTTTCCGAAGAGCTCCCTCATCGGCCACCGGCCACCGAGAGAGACGCTCGCTGTCCTTATCCGCTCCCACCTCCCGGCCCACAGGAACTCTGCTGGAGGCCGCGCCCTCTGAGTGCCGAACCATGGCCGAATACTCCTACGTGAAGTCCACCAAACTCGTGCTCAAGGGTACAAAGGCGAAGAGGTGAGGCGGCGCGGCGCTCGGGCGGGGTCCCCTCCCTGCGATTGTTAGCTTTAGGACCTCGGTGTGGACCGCACCAGGGACGAAGACTGATGGTTCGTTCCTTTGCTCGCTTATTGAAAACTCAGATAAACTTTACATGTGCTTTGTATCTCGATACTGTCAGAGAAATAGGAGATACATCCGATCTGCCCTCTTCGTATCTCCGCCCTCCTTTGAAAGATTTGGCCAAAGTGGAGCACTTTTTTTCCGGGATCACCAATGAAGCAGTGTCAATGGGTGCTTGTTAGTAAATACCAGCCCTTGGGAGGCAGGGGGAGAGGGGGAATCTTGCTGGAGGGAGGGGGGGCATCGTGAAGAATTTGTCCAGATTGAATCTGAAACTGAAGCTGCTAGCAGCTGCAGCGAAGGCAGAATTAGCTTCTGAAAACTTTGTAGTTAAGGTGCAAAGAATTTAAGACAGGGTTTTTCTTAGTAGCTCTGGCTGTCCTGGAACTCGTTCTGTAAACCAGACTGGCCTCGAACTCAAGAGATCTATCCGCCTGCTTCTGCCTCCTAAATGCTGGGATTAAAGGCGTGGGCCATGGTCGCCCAGCTCAGGATTTGTTCTAAGCACTTTGGATAATCACTTTTTTCCCTAAGATCTCCCTTTGTGTTTTCGTTTATGACGATATCAATTCATATACCATAAACTCCTCCTTTTAAAGTGTACAGCTAGTGGTTTTTTAGTATATTTATGAATTCACCACCATCTAGTTGGTGTTTTCCAAAGGAAACCCCTTAACCTTTAAATAATCATACCGATCGATCCCTCCAGGATTCTGTCAACTGCTTTCAGTCTACAAGGATTTGCTTACTATGAATATTTATGTCATTGGAATTGCACAATATATAACCTTTTGTGTTTGGCTTCTTTCACTGAGGTTGTGAGACAGGGTCCACTGTGTAGCCCTGGCTAGCCTTAAACTCACAGAGATCCACTTGCCTCAGCCTCCCACATGCTGCGGTTAAAGGCATGTATCACTGTACCTGACTTATTTCACTTAGTTCTGAGGAGCATCCACAATGTGGTGCAGTGTATTTGTTCTGCTTTTGTATGTTATTAGCTTCTTTTGTTCTTTCTTCATTTGATGACCATTTACACTAGTGATAATGCCACTATCAATATTCTGGTTTTTGTGGACATAACTTTTTTTCATTTTTCTTGGAGATATATGGGACTAGAGTCACCTAGGTCTTATTTGTGGTAACTCGGTGTTTAGCTTTTTGAGAGGTATTTTCCAAAGAGGTTGTCTTAGTTAGGGGTTCTGTAGCTGTGATAACACCCTGACCAAAGGTGTGCAAGTGGAGAGAGGTTTTGCGTCAGCTTACATCTTACAACCCATCATCCAGGAAAGTGAAGGCAGGAACCGATGTAGAGGCCATGGAGAAATGCTGCTCACTGGCTCACCATGAGTGATGTCCACCTGTATCAATCATCAGTCAAGGAAATGCCCCCACAGGTTTGCCTACAGACCAAATCTGGTGGGTGCATTTGTTCAATGGAGGTTCCCTATGCCCAAATGCTTCTAGCTTGTGTTAAGTTGATCAGCACAGTAGCCAGCACCAAGGCTGTACCATGCTTCATTCTTCAGCAATAAAAGGGTCATAGTCACTTGTAGTAAATTTTTAAAAATCATTTTTCTGTATATCAATATATAGCTTGAACGACTCCTGAGTATTCATCTTGTCATTTTAAACACAGATGTCTGTATTTCCAAACTCATGTATGTATCTTTTTTTCCTTTAGTAAGAAGAAGAAAAGCAAAGATAAGAAGCGAAAACGGGAAGAAGATGAGGAAACCCAACTTGATATTGTGGGTGAGCCACTTCAATTCTTTATTGCATGGAAAGTTAGCATCTGTTGATGGTTAGTGCCCCATTTGAAGAGTTGTCCGCATTAGAGCTGATGACCTGCTTGCCATACCCTTCGCTTCCAAAGCTCACAAGATGTCACTGTTGTCCTTACCAACAGAACAACTAAGTATCACAGACACTCCTGTGTCACCAGAGCATGATCCATAACTTTAAATGCCTATCATGCAAAAGTATTGCTTAACTGAGTACACATTATTTTCTTTGGAAATGCATAAATTTTAGTGAAAAGTCCACAATTTTTGTTCCCAAAGGAAGTATAGTCTAGTAAACTAATTATTTTGTATCCTGAAATGAATGAAAATCCTAAATAGAATAATGCATCAAGGTACTCTATAAAATGGTACTAGAAATAGTCTCTCCCAAATCCATATCCAAATATGTTTTTGTTTGTTTGTTTTGTTCTTTGTATACCTATACTTTAAATCAAATGTCTTGTCTATCAAAATTTGACAAGTTAAATTTTGAAACTTTGGCAAAATAAAACAGCAGGTAAAGGCATTTGTGGCCAAACCCGACAATCTGTTATAGATCCATGGGTCCCAGGTGGTAGGAGAGCAGTGACTCACACAAATTGTCCACTGATCTCTGCATGCGCACACACATGTAATAAAGGATTTAAAGAAAATAGGCAATGGTGCAGAAATTATGTGGGAAACCTCACATCATTTGAAAAAGTACTTCTCAAATAACAGAGTTCTATAATTAGGGTCAGGATCAAGAGTAGATTTGTGAGTGTTGATTTGCAAATTCTTAGGATAAGTGAATATTTATCAATATTAGAATATGCCAAAATTTCCTAAATGTTCTTGCTCTTAAACATCTGTGGTAGCAAGTAGTGCTTTGTCCCACCCCTGGCGCCTTTTTGTTTTCTTTACAGTGCTTTTCTGATGAGCTGGTCACTAGTTTACCTCAGGCTTGTTGATTGAGTCTCACATGGTGACTGCCTTTGAGATCTTTATTTAGCCTATCCCAACACCATGAAAAATTTGTACTTTTCCTTTTAGACATACTGTAGTTTAGAGTTTTCTTTTTTCCTGGTTTTATCATCCATTGTTGTATATTATGAGGTAGGACTCAGAGGTTGCATTTGCTTTTGTGTTTCCTGTTTATAATCAGTTCCAGCCACCTTTTGAATAGTTACCTGTTGCCATGAAATGGCTATTTACAAATTAGTTTCTGTCTGTTGGTCTGTTTCTTGACTCCTGTTCATGTACACATTTTTCTGTTATTACATATTTGTCTTTATTACTTTCACTTCATAAACTTTCCAGTTCAGTAGCTGAATACTTTGTATTTCCTTTGTTAAAATTAGCTGTTCTGAGTTTTTAATGTCCAAATAAATTTCCAAGTCAACTTACCATTTCATTTAATAAAGCCTGTTGAATTATCTGAGAGCATTGTATTGCTTCTAGGTTATTTGGCAGATTCAATATATTAATTGTATATAGTTCATATTTCTGTATCAGCTTTGCTCTTTGAGGTATTAATGCTCCTTCATTAATGCATCCGTCATTCCTATTTTTCATTTACATAAACATCTACAGTCGTATTTTCTTTGACTATAGTTTTAATTTCCCTTTCTTCCTGTGTCTTTTATTTCTTTTATCAGCTAGGACTTTGGAAATGTTGAACAGATGTGGTGAGAATAACCATAGTAGTTATTTCTAATCTTCAGCAAGAAGTCTTGAGTAGTCCCCCATATAGTATGGTTTTAAGTATAGAATTCTCATAGGTGTTTTACCAAAATAAGGATTATAATTGACAATATAAAAAAATTCTTAGTAAGTTGTAGAATTGGTCAGAGAGTAACAAAGATTTGAATGTATTCCCCACTTGCCAATTGTTCTGACATAAGACAACAGTAACTGACAACTGCAGAATACATTTTTTTAAGTGTCCATCAAAATAAAGCAAGAAATTATGTTCTCCATCATACTGTAAATGAGACTGCACAGCAACACCTTTGGAAGGTGTGAAAGTATAGAATTTAATGTCCCTTGGTTTGTGTATAAAGAACAAGGTGTTTCCTGGATCTCAGATTCTGCTTCAGTGTCTGTAGCATGGACAGTATAAGGCTGTAAGTGAGGTGGTGAGTTTGATTGGTGTGATTGATTGGTGATGGGTGGCTTCAGTGAGCCGGTCCATGGCACCTGCTGCTTTTCTTTTGACAGCAACCTGAAACATGTTGATCCTGCAGCCATGAAACATGTAAACAACCTCTGGCCTTTGAGTAGAGGCAACTTTAATCCCACGAAGAAAACACAGGCATGCTGTGGATAATGTTTTAGGCAGTCGGGATTTCTAAAAGTAATGTATCGTTTCCTCCACTTTGGCAAAGACTGAAATTTTTGTAGTTTGTCAGAAATTTATTATTTTTCTTAAATCCCCTATTGAGGTTCTATGTTAAAAGTATTTATATTTAAATGTAGGCTTGAGTGTGGCTCATTGGTAGGGTAGTTGCTTAGCATGCATGAAGCTTTATCATGGGTGTGAGGAAAGCATTAGTGTGTGTAGGATTTGGCTTTGGTCTCAGGCATCCTGTGAGGAAAAGGAGAGGCTATTGACTGGAAAGGTCCTCTCTCTGTGGGCTTGTGAGGTGGAGTCTGCAATGAGAGAAACTATTCCCTTTTGGTTTGGTTTGGTTGGGGGGAATTGTTTTTGGTTGGTTGGTTGGTTGGTTTGGGTTGGGTTTTGGTTTTTGGAGAGACAGGGTTTCCCTGTATATCCCTGGCTGTCATGAAACTCACTCTGTAGACCAGGCTGGTCTTGAATTCACAGAGATCGTCCTGCCTCTGCCTCCCAAGTACTGGAAGTGTTGCCTACCTTCTTACCCTTTTGCACCTCTGCATGTGTTAGAGTGATCTTGACTGTGATGTTAATCACAAGAATCCACCCATATAAACAAACAAGTTTGTACAAAACTGGTAAAATATAAGTAAGATTTGGGATTATGTTTATGTTGAATGCTAAGGATTGTACAGGAGTTGTGCAAGGTGGTACAATTAGGAGGAACTCGGTGAAGAATAAATCAGGTCTCTCTGCATTGATTCTTGCAATTGTCAAATACAGTAAATACAACAGAAAACCTTGGGCAATCCTAAAATAAAATGGTTAAGTCTTGACTTTTATTTTGTAGGAATCTGGTGGACTGTATCCAACTTTGGGGAGATTTCAGGAACCATTGCCATTGAAATGGATAAAGGAGCCTATATCCATGCACTAGACAATGGCCTTTTTACGCTGGGAGCTCCACATAGAGAAGGTTTGTGTGGGGAAGAAGCACCGATGGGAGGCCCTGTACAGTAAAAGATTACGGAGTTTGTGGATGAGTCTGGGCCTGTTCCAAATAAGGCTGCCATCACACTGAGCTCCTCTGCGTTTTTCCTTCCTCACTCCTGCTATCAGGAACTGTCTTTTTCCAGAATAAGCACTTGAAACTATGACTGCTATCAGGAGTAACCATGTGGAAATAAAAACTAGCACTAAAAATCACATTTACAATTGTACTTATAAGTGAAAAGAAAGAAGAAAATCTAAGTGAATCAGAAGTTTGAAGTTTTTTTTTTTTTTTTTTTTTTTTTTTTTTTTCCCCTCCCTTCAGAACTGGGATACCCTTAACAGACATTTAGACATTTTGTCCTTTTCCTTAGCCCACAAGGAATGAAGTGATTGGAAAGTAAAAAAGGCATGATTTAAGTAAATAAAAGCATTTAGTATACTTTTATTTATGTACTGATTATATTGGAAGTGGCTAAATAAGTCATGCCAAACTGTCTTAGACAGTACATAAATTCACCATGTAACGATGTCTTATAGAAAGTTTATTATCACAGGGTGTTCAATTATCTTAATATCCTTGTAATTTCAGGGGGAAAACTAGTTTTTAAAGCATAAAAATCTTCATGTCTATAATTCTAGCAAGTGTTGTATTTTTTCCATTTCTATTTTCTTTTAGTTGATGAGGGTCCCAGTCCTCCAGAGCAGTTTACTGCTGTCAAACTCTCTGATTCCAGGTAAGCTGTAGTTGAACTGTATTTAAAAGCCTTAAATTTTAACTTCAGTTAACCATGCATGCTGATGCATACCTTTCATACCAGCACATGGGAAACAGTCAGGAGGATCAGGCGCTCAAGGCTATCTTGGCTATATAATGAGTTTTGGACCAGCCTGTGCTACATGGAACCCTGTCTCAAAAAAATAGTAATGTCACTTAAGTTTTAAAAAAACTACAGTGTAAGTGAATACAAGATCAAGAATAATTTTAATTGTTAGATGGTGTTTTGAAAAGGAGTTTTTTTGTTGTTGTTTTGTTTTGTTTTTGTTTTTTGTTTTTTTGAGATAGGGTCTCTACAGAGTCCTGGCTGTCCTGGAAATTGAGCTGTATACCAGACTGGCCTCAAACTCACAGAGATACACCTGCTTCTGCCTCCCTAAGTGCTGGGATTAAAGGTGTGCACCAACATGCCAGCCTTGAAATGGATATTTTATAGTGTTCAGAAAACATGTTTTTTTTTTCTTTTTTTTTTTTATTTAAATTTTTTTTCTTGTTTTATATGTCGATCCCAGTTCCCTTTCCCTCCCATCTTCCCATGTCCCCCATAGACCTTCCCCCCATCCCATCTCCTATCTACTCCAAGGAGGGTGAGGCCTTCCATGAGGGATCATCAAAGCCTGTCAAATCATTTAGGGTAGGGCCTAGGCCCTCCCACCATGTCTCTAGCCTAAGTGAGTATTCCTCCATGGGGAATGGGCTCCTGATGTCAGTTTCTGCACTAAGGATACATCCTGGTTCCATTGACTTCCATAGACTTCCCAGGCCTCCTAACTGAGACCTACATTCAGGGGGTCTGGGTCGGTCTTATGCTGGTTTCCCAGTTATCTGTTATTTATAATCTTTTTTTTTTTTTTTTTTTTTTTTTTTTTTTTGGATTTCTGGTTTGCGGGTTTGGGGAATGTCTATTTGTACATTAGTGAAGGGCCACATAATGTTTTATTTACATCACATATACATTGTCTGAAGATAATTTTAAGCAGTGTATCTCTGTTCCTGAAATTGGCTGTGAATAATGACATGTAGCCATCTGTGGCATTGTCCACATGTGACCTCATGTCTGTGCTCAGAAATTTGAGATTTTGGAGGTTTTGGGGATTAGTACTTAACCTATACTATTTATGTAGATAATTCCAATGTATACCATTTGTCTAGAAAAAAATAGCTTGAAAATGAAAATTAATAATGTCAAGAGACCAAATTAAATAGATCAGAAAGAGCATGAGAAGAAAATAAACATGAAATAAAATCTGCCAGTGATACTATAATGTATGGATTTGCCATCAGAAGAGACATATATTAGTCATGGTGTCAGACACTTGACATCCCAATACTTGGGAGGCTCAGAAAGTAGATTCAGGCCATCTAGGATATATAGTGACACCCTATCTCAGAAAAAAGGTCAAGAAACAGGAAGGCAAAAGAAAAGAAAATCGTTAAAACTAACCAGAAAGTGTTCATGATCACATAAAAAATTGACTATTTTTGTTCTTAACCGTGCAAAAATGCAGAATGGTATTTTTGCATAGTAGATAGAGAAATTGAATGTTGGTGTTTTAGTAATAATTATAGCAACATAATAATTTATATTATCATCAACCCCCAAATGAGTATGAAGTCAGTTCAGCATCCCTGGAAATTGGTTGGCAAGAAAAATTTTTTTATATATTTCTTTGAAAGACTTAGGAGTAAAAAGAAACAAATGTCAGTCAGTAAACTTTTTGATAGTTACAAACAAATGTTATGAGCCATAGACAATGAGGGAAGTATTTGCAACACTCTCCATAAGCAGTGAGTGGTTACTTGGTGATACATGTGCATAGCATTCATAATGCTGATGACATCAGTAGAAAATCTCTGGAACTTGTTGTGTAGACCAAGGTGGCCTCTAACTCATAGAGATTCACCAAATTTTGCCTCCTAAGTACTAGAACTAAAGGCTTATGCCACCATGTCCAGGTGTGCTTCTTCTAAAGTACATGCTTAAAATAACTTTTTTAGCTAGATGCATATCTTAGGGCAGTGGTCCTCAACTTGGAGGTTGAATGACCCTTTCACAGGGGTCACATCACCTATCCTGCATTTTATTATGGCTAAAACAATAGCAAAAATAGTTATGAAGTAGCAACGAACCATTTTATGGTTAGAGGTCACTACAACATGAGGAACTTTATTAAAGGGTCACAACATTAGGTTGAGAATTGATGACTTAGCGCACACCCCTTCTTCTCAATAAAATCTCTCTTGAGGTGAGAACCTAAGTTGTTATATATAGCTTTTCCTTGAGAGCAGGTTGACAAACTGTAAAGTTTTATCATCTATATAATGTAAGATACTGTATAGGAAGCAAAATATAAGCTTATAGGTAGAGAATATTGTGTCCACTGTAAACATGTCTGGATTTTTTAATGTGTGTGTGCTCTTTATTTTATAGTTAAATTCTAATTCTCAGTTTTTAACATTTATCTTTTTTACTAAACCAAAGAATTGCCCTGAAATCTGGTTATGGAAAGTACCTTGGTATAAATTCAGATGGACTTGTTGTTGGCCGTTCGGATGCCATTGGGCCAAGAGAACAATGGGAACCAGTGTTTCAAGATGTAAGTACTATTTCTTGGAAGGGTGCTCTGCCAGTTTAAGAAAACGTCATTAGCAGTAAAAGCACATTCTCTAAAGTTAATAAAACAGTAAGGGTTAGATTGTAATAGTAATATGGAAAAAATTAGAATGAACATATATTGATGTAACAGTGTCAAAACAGTATATCAAAAAGGAGTACCTTCCCCATTCCGGTTTCTGTCCACTACTGAGGCCTTGTTATCTTATTTTCTGGGAAAAGATTCAGATGCTTGCATTTAAGTGTTGGGGTTTTTAAAAAGAAGCAAATCCCAGGGTGTTTCAGGAACTGTTTTTTTGTTTGTTTGGTTGGTTGGTTTGGTTTGGTTTGGTTTGGTTTGGTTTGGTTTTTTTCCACGTAAGTTGGTTCAGAACCTTTAGAGACTGACAGACAAGAGGGCAATAGAGGAGGTTAATGCTGCATTGTGACAATTTGAGCATAAAATAGTAAATCGTGGTATGGGTCATTGAAATAAATACCTTTTGTAGAGCTCTGAGTTTCAGTTCATAAAAGAAAATCAGTATAAATGAGTTTAATTCTACATACATTAATTTTAGCAAGTTTTCATTTGTATCATATCAATAACTGTAAAGAAAAATAGAACAAGCCAGAGAAGTTCAGAAGCTGTCCAGCAATGGCAGTATGTACAGTTCAGTGTAGCATCAGGGCCAGAGAAGGAGGTTCATTGGCAAGGACACCTGCAATAACAGTATGAGGACCTAAGTTCAGATTGCAGCAACCACGAAACAGCTGGATGAGGCTGCATGTGTCTGTAACCTCCAGGCTGTAGCAGAGACTGCTGGCCGCCAGCCTGACTCCTGGTTCACAGAGCCCTTTTTCAAAGGAATAAATAAGACAGAATAATGAGTAGAACACCTGGTGTCTATTTTTAACAAAAATCTCAATCGTTCAATTTTACCAATAAAGACGGTGCCGGCTGCTGGGATGAAAGCCTGCTAGCCCAAAGAGGCAGAGCAAACACCCAGGTGATCTTCCTCTTCAACTGATGTCCCAGAAACCTCCCTCTCTATTCCTCTCAAACCAAACTCCTCAAACTGCATTTCTTCCCTTCTACTTCCTGTGTATCTTCCTAACCTTCCTGACTCCTTCCTCCTCTATGGCTTTTTCTTAAAAATCCTATGTTTACTTCCTGTCAACTGGTTGCTTGCTTCTCCTCTTGACCTATGGTTGACTTTATTTAACCCTGTTTACGATACTCAAGCAGAAAGCTCTTGGATTAAAGGTGTGTGCTAGAACTGAGCCACACCACAACTAGAAACAGGTTTTTCCAGTAAATAATGCAATCTGGGGGTTCATAGTGTGATTAAATATCCTCCAGCAGGTGCTCTCAGCCTTCACATGTACAGGGGCATGCACCCTCATATACACACACCTCACATACATATACGACATTTAAGCACACACAGACCAAAAGTAATGACATAATAATAACAACATAATGCCTTGGTGCATTCAAAGGTGATAAATTAGCTATTCTCCTAAGGTGAGGTAATTACTTAATCCTCTAGAATAAAATCTTGAGTCAGTGACTTGTAAACATTTATGGCCATATTGTTGTGAGAAACACATTTTGGCATCTCATGAACAAAAAAACTGTATTCACCAGTACTTACTTATTTATTTTGTTTGTTTTTGTTTTGTTTTTCCTTTTATTGGAAGTAGATATTTTTTTTCATACAATTTATCCTGACTACTGTTTCCCCTCTCCCTGCTCCTCCTAGTTCGTCTCTAGGTCCCCATCCATCAGGATCCTTGCCCTTTCTGTCTCTCCTTAGGAAACAAATATGTATCTTGGGAGCAATAATAAAATATAATACAACAAAACAAAAACAAACATTGAACTTTAAAGTGGAGTGTTGCCTCCAGTGAGACTCCCTTGGAGAAAACTAATTTTTCATTTACAAGTGGTTACCAATTCGAGATAGCTTTTGGTTTAGAGATGGGGGCATGTGTCCACTGCACCTTTCAGCTCTAGGACCACTGGTGCAGACCTCTGCAGGTCCTGTGCTTGCTGCCAGTCTCGCTCAGTTCATATGTGCATCGATCATGCTGTGTTCAGGATGCCTTGTTTCGTCGGTGACCTCTATCTGGCTCTTACACGTTTTCCACTTCCTCTTCCGTAGGATTCACTGAGCCCTGAAGGGAGGGATTTGATGGAGATATCCCATTTAGGACTGGCCTTGCTCTCTTCATATTGTCTGGCTGTGGGTCTCTCTTTTTTCTTATCTGCTGCAGGAGGAAGCTTTCTCTGATGATGGCTGAGCAAGGCACTGATCCTGATCCGTGGTATAGCAGAATGTTATTAGGCATCATTATAATGCTATATCCCTTTAACAGAACAATACTGTTTGGGTTTCCCCTAGGTCCCTGGCCTATCTCCTCTCAGGTTCTTGGCCACTAAACAGCATTGAGTATGGTGGGTTCTATCTCATGGAGAGGACCTTAAATTAAATCAAGTATTGGTTGCTGGTCCCTCCCACAAGCTTTGTGCCACTGTTATACCAGTGTGTCTCCCAGGGAGGTCACCACTGTAGATTAAAAAGGGGTTGTAGCTGGGTGGTGCTTTCCTTTCTCCTTTGATAGCATGCGGAGTGCCTTCTAGTACTATGAACACTGATCCACAGGAGATAAGACTCACTGAGTTATGTAGGTGTTGTCTTCAGTAATAAAGGCCTTGCCATCATTTTGTCAAGAACCATCAGTAACCCTGGTGTTAGCCTGAGTTGTTTGGGGGTTCCAGTGGGACTCCATTGGCCAACAACTTGATTACATGTAACCCATTCCTGGTCCCAGAATCTCTCTTTAATGATGAAAGATGTCCAGTTGGGGTTTTGTCTCCATTGTTCTTTGGTGATTTCATTTGAATCTCCTTTATATATGTGTGGATTTAGGAAGTTTCTACTGTATTAGGCTTCTATACAACCCTTCAAATGGCCCTTAGTTTTAGGAACCCCTTCCTGTAGTTCCTCCTGTTCCCCATTCTAGTCTCCCACACCTCATCTGTCTATATAACTATTCTGTTGTTAGAGTCCATAACTATCCTCCCTAGGGAGATATGTCTCTCCTCCCAGTCCCTTACTCCATACCCAACCTCTGTGGTTACATAGATTGTACTTGCTCATCAATGAATTAATAGCTAACAACCATATGTAAGTGAACGCTGTATTTTTCTTTGTAGGTCTGTATTACCTCACTCAGGATGATTTTTTTTCTAGTTCCATCCATTTATCTGCAAATTCCATGATTGTGTTTTCTTAATGGCTCTGTTGTATAAACTACCACATTCTTCTGTTAAGAGGCATCTAGCCTGTTTCAATTTCTGGCTGTTAGAACAGCAATGAATGTGGTTAAATAGTGTGTCTGTAGTAGGATGAGGCATCCCTTTGGGTATGTACCAAAGAATGTAACTTGATCCTGAGTTAGATTGATTTCTACCTTCCTGAAGAACTGCCACACTGATTTCCATAGTGGCTGTACAGGTTTGTACTCCTACCAGCAATGGGTGTTTCCCTTACTCCACATCCTCCCCAGCATGAGCAGTCATTTTTACTGATCTTGACCATTCTGACTGGTGTAAGATAAAATTTCAAAGTAAGTTTGATTTGCATTTCCTGATAACTAAGGATGTTGAACATTTCTTCTAAGAGCTTCTCAGCTATTTGAGTTTCTTCTATCGATAATTTTCTGTTAGCTCTGTACCCTGTTTTTTCATTGGGCTGGGATTTTTTGTTTGTTTGTTTTGTTTTTTTGTTTTGTTTTTGATGTCCAGATTCTTGAATTCTTTATATATTTTGGACATCAGCCATCTGTCAGATGTGTAGTTGGTAAATCTTTTCCCATTCTGTCAGATGTCACTTTGTCCAAATAATGGTATTCTCTGCCTCACATAAGCTTTTCAGTTTCATGAGGTCTCATTTATTAACTATTCATCTTCCTGCCAATGCTAATGGTGTTCGTTCAGAAAGTCTTCTCTGCCGGTGAGTTTTAAGCTATTCCCCACGTTCTCCTGTCAAACTCAGTTATATGGTTTTATGTTGAGGTGTTTAATCCACTTGGACTTGAGTTTTGTGCAGAATGGTAAGTATGGATTTATTTGGCTTCTTCTATATGCACTAGCACCATTTGTTGAAGATGCTTGCATTTTTCCCAGTTTGTAATTCTGGCTTCTTTATCAAAAATCAGGTGTTCATAGATATGTGGATTGGTATCAGTTTTCCATTTTATTCCATTGCTGAACCTGTGTGTGTGTGTGTGTGTGTGTGTGTGTGTGTGTGTGTGTGTGTATCATAATGTTTTTATTACATAGGTCTGTGTTACAATTTGAGATTGGGGATGGTGATACCTTCAGGAGTTCTTTTATGATTCAGGATTGTTTTCACTATCTTGGGTTTTTGTGTTTCCCCATGAAGCTGAAAATTGTCCTTTCAAGCAAGATCTGTGAACATGGGAGATCTTTCCATCTTCCTATATCTTCTTTTATGTAAGCACTGAGTTGAACAGCCTTCATTGTGTCCCATAGGTTTGGTTATGTTGTGTCTTCATTTTCACACAATTCTAAAAGTTTTAATTTTCTTCTTAATTTCTGTCTTGATCTATTTTCATTCAGTAGTGACTTGCCCATTTCTCATGAGCTTGTGTATTTTCTGTTGTTGATACCCAGCTTTAATCCATGGTGGTTAGCTGGGATGCAGGATGTTATTTCAATTTCCTTGTATCTGTTGAGGCTTGCTTTGTGGTCAGTTTTGGAGAAAGTACCATGAGCTTCTGAGAAGAAGGTATATTCTTTTGTGTTTGGGTAAATATCTGCTAAACCATTTGGTTTATGACATCAGTTAGCTCCAGCATTTCTGCTTAGATTTTGTTTGGATGACCTGTCTCCCGAGATCACTGTGTGAAAGTCAAGGTGTGATTTTAAACTATAATGTTTCTTTTAATGACTTGGGTGCCTTTGTGTTTGATGCATGGATGTTTAAACTGCAGTATCTTCTTGGTGGATTTTTCCTTTAATGTAGTGTTCTTCCATCTCCTGATCAGTTTTGTTTTGAAGTCTGTTTTGTCAGATATTAAATGACCATACCATCTTGCTTCTTAGGTCTATTTGCATGAAATACCTTTTTCTTCTATCCTTTCACCCTGAGGTGATGTCTATCCTTGCTTGATGTTAAAATGTGTTTCTTGGATACTACTTAATGGTGGATCCTGTTTTTGAATCTGTACTGTCACTGTGTGTTGTTTACTGGGGAGTTGAGACCATTGGTGTTGAGAGTTATCAGTAAGCTGTGTTTGTTGGTTTCCATCATTTTGTATTGCGTTTTGGGGTTTTCCCACCATATTCTGTTTTCCCTTTCCCACTATATTCTGTTAACACTTTCATGTCTTAAATTGTTTTCATTTCCTTCCTCTACTTGATACATTTTTATAAATTGCTATAATGGATATATTCACTTCCACTTTAAGGACCTCCAGCATATTCATAAAGACTATTTTGAAGTTCTTGCCTTGTGTTTTAGCTATACTCCATTTCTCAGGGCCTTCTGAGGTAGGGTTGCCGAGTGTGCCACCTGGATCTGCTTAGTCCTCTGGGAATAGGAGTAGTGAGGCAGGAAAGGCCATAACCGTTGGTCTTCTAAAGAGCTTGGAGATAAGACTGGGGGATTTGATTTGGAGGAGAGGGGAAAGAGAATGAAGGTCTGAAGATCAATAGCCTACTTGCTTCCTTGGTGGGCGAGAGGTTTCCAGGGAATGGCTCTGGGAGTTGGGGCTAAGACAAAGAGCAACAGTAATTGTGTTGCATGTATTATGCACTCTGGCATTTTCTTTGCTCTTCTACCTCTGTCTAATTTGGCTGGTCGTGGTTTGCTTTTGTCTAAAAGGTGAGGTTGCTCAGCACCTGACAGCCAGCATTTGATTTCCAGAACCCATGAAACGGTGGACAGAGATCACTGATTCCACAGAACTGTCCTCTGACCTCTCACTCTCTCCACTCTACCCATCTGCTCCTTGGAGAGAGTAAGGCCTCTCCTAGGAAGTCTACTAAGTCTGTCCCATCATCTCATTGAGGCAAGACCAAGGCACTTCTCCATCCCCACACTCCTGTGTCATTTTGCTTTTAGGAAGACTTAAAATCCCTGGTATAGTGGGTTAAGTTGCAGAAGCAGAGCTTTCCTATCCATAGCACATATGGATTCTGGTGGAGGGTGTGGCTAAATACAGTGAAGTCCCTGCCACCTTGAGTAGAGTAAGACGTCAAATAAAATCCACGTGTTTTAACAGAATATTTCAGCATTATAATTAAATCTTTTTTTTTTTATTTTTTTTTTTATAATTAAATCTTACACTTATTAGGAAAACTTAACTATAGTTCACACTCAGGCCCACAAGAAATTTAGTTTTTAAGATTTTATGTAATAGAAATCAATATAATCATAAATATTTGACCCCTAAAATTCTGTTGTGCTACACAAAATTCCCTCAAATGCTTTTAATTATGGAGAAAAATAAATTGCACTTGAAATCCCAATACTTCAATAAATTATTGCATATTATTCATAAATTTTATTTTCTTTAAAGAGAATTGTTAACTACTGAGTTTATCATCAGAGATGGGAATTAAAGAAAGAAATTAATTTTGTGTATGTAGAATGCTGTCCTGGAAGAAGAAAGTAAAAGGTCATATAAGTGCTCTACCACTGAAAATGTGTATTGTGATAAAGTTTGAATATCAAGATTTGGGGTGATTTTGGTTTCGCTTCTATATGCTTTTGTATTTTCCAGGATTTCTCTCAGTTCTTTTTGATTTTAGAATTGGGGAGAAAATTTTAAATTAGCATAGTGACCTATGATTTCTTCAAGTATTCATAGCTTGATTTATTTTTTTCTTTGTTTTATTTAGGGGAAAATGGCTTTATTGGCTTCAAATAGCTGTTTTATTAGATGTAATGAAGCAGGCGATATAGAAGCAAAGAATAAAACAGCAGGAGAAGAAGAAATGATTAAGGTAAATACTTTCTACTGGCTAGTAGTGATGTCTGGACAGCAGCTGACTGTCACTTTCCAGACACACCACCATTTTCTACGTTAATCCAGGTGTGCCTTAGCTATCATAAGTCCTGTGATATCTTGTTTGTACAACGCAATTGAGAGTTTATGGATCAGAACTTTTCTACTGTTTTCCTGATACTTATTTTTTAAGATAGATAGGATGTTCACAAAACATGAAAGTTTCAAGTAGAAACAAAGGCTTGTGTCTCCCGCCTGCACTGCTTACCTAGTTCACACCCTTTCCCTGTCGTTTGCTGCATTTGGTTTAACTGTTGCTTGCGTGCTAGCTTTATTGTCTTTTAGAACATATCTTGTATAAACACCTTTCCTGTTTTTACTGTTGTATCCTGGAGATCCCTGTCCATGTGAATCTATACTAAAAATCTTCCCCTTCCTCACCTACATAGTGTTCTGTTTTAGGAATGTTCCTTACTTATCCAACCAGTCTTGTATAAATTGAAATGTAGATTGTTACCTGGCTTTTGTCCTTAGAAACAATGCTACAGCACATGAATGAATCTGCAAAAGCAAAATTACAGGGTTAAGGGACTGTGTCTTTATGATTAGTTAGCTACTGTGAAGTTGCCTGACAGAAAGTTGACAGCTACTTTAGCACCCATGATGATAGTCACTAAGTAAGCATAAATGTCTTAGAGCTTTTGGGTCTTTGGCCCTCAGATTTTTGCTCTCTTTTTGAATACACACGTTTTGTACATAAGGAGAAATGTGAAACACATGAACAGTTTGTGTTACTTTGATCTAAATCACTAACTGGAAGGGAAAACACCTTCTTCCTGGCAGAGTTCCTCAGTGCTACTCTTTGCTTTTACTTAATTTTAAAAGTTACACAGGTACCTTTATATCACAGTAAAATTCTCAATATACTGCCAGGATCTTCAGGAGGTTAAGTAGAATCTGATGAAGCATTGGTTCAACTTACATGTAATTCTAGCTATTTCTGTAAACGATAAATGTGTACGAAATCAAAACACATCTCATATCTTGAGCTTGTCTTTTCCTAAATCTTATTGCTAAGTTAATTGTTTTCTTGGCTTGCATAAGAAATCACGTGGAATGCTCTTGCCTAGCAAGTGGGGAGAAGAAGATACATGTGTAACCTGTTGGGTCCTCATCAATATCTAGATTAGATGCTGTGCTGAAAGAGAAACCAAGAAGAAAGATGACATTCCAGAAGAAGACAAAGGAAATGTAAAACAGTGTGAAATCAACTATGTGTATGTATTCTCCTTTGAGCTTCCACTCTGACAGTAGGGTTTCTCAGAACACCTTATAGCAATGTTCCTGAAGGACCAGAGAGCCCATAATGGGAACTCAAAGACAGAGTGATGAGCTGAGAGCTTAAATCTAAAGACACTTGGGTTAATCAGCTCTCCCTTTCTTTAATAGAGTTGCTATATCACACCACCCAGGGGCCATTTGTGTTCCAGACATGAAACCAGCTAACATCCTTAGAAGGAGGCTTGGCAGGGCTTATGATGGATCATAAGAAATCATCTTTGTAGGATGAAAGCTGTCAATTTTTATAGAAAAAAAATGTCAATTTTTGAAGAAATACAATTAGGTTTGTTAAATACATCATTGGGGGAAACTTTTAATAGTATTTGGAATTTGGTAAGTAAACACAATAGAAGTTTAAATTTATTTTTAATGAGAAATATTTCTTCATAGAAAGAAATTTCAGAGCTTCCAAGACCACAAACTCAAAATAAGTAAAGAAGATAGTAAAATTCTTAAAAAGGCTCGGAAAGATGGATTTTTGCATGAGACACTTCTTGACAGGTAATTGTATATTTGCTTAATTACAACAATTTTCAAAAGTAATGTGTTCTTACATTACTATTATTTAGGATTTTTGCCTTCTTTTCTAATTTATATGGTAATACTACCTAAAAGACACAAGTCTGGGGAAAGTGTGCTTAAAAAAAAAAATTTGTAAATTATAACTAGAATATAAATATGTAAATTCTTTTAGGTTTTCAGGTTTGTTTGAAACTATTTCATAAATGTATTGAACCACCAGTGTAGTTATTTTCATGCATCCACCAGGCCATTTCCATGGTGTCAGAGTTACCAAATTTGCTTCCCATCATCTTCCCTTAAGAAGTAGGAACAGAGCTAGAAAGTTGCTCTAGTAATACCAAGATTCTATGTGTTCTGTTTGAGTAGTAGAGGCTCATAAAACTGAGATAAAAATGTATGAATTTGTATCCAGACTAAAAGTTCAATAAGGGAAATTGAATCTATTTTAGAAAAGTTAGATTCATCCTTGTACAAGATATTTATTATAAACATTATTTCTTGTTTTTTGGGTTTTTTTTTTTTGTTTGTTTGTTTGTTTGTTTTTCGAGACAGGGTTTCTTTGTGTAGCTTTGGAGCCTGTCCTGGAACTCACTCTGTAACCCACCCAGGCTGGCCTCGAACTCACAAAGCTCCACCTGCCTCTGCCACCCTAGTGCTGGGATTAAAGGCATGCGCCACCACCGCCCTGCTTGTTCCAGTTTATTTTTAAATAAGTAAATAAATAACAACTACAGTTACTACCTGGAAAGCAGACAGGGAAGTTAGCTGCGGGCTTAAAGCAGTCAACCAGTAGAGTGCCAAACTGAAGAGGAATACACCGATAATCTCCTGTTAGTCATAAAGCCTTCTGTTGTAAATCACTCCTAAGCCTTCTCATTATCTGATAAAATAATACTTAATTGCATACTTCCTGTTAAGTATTTGGTAAAGATGAAATCAGTTAATGGGAGAGGTTTTTTTTTTTTTTTTTTTTTTTTTTTCAACATGAAAAACCATTATGTGTGTAGTTCTGAGAAGTCAGAAAGGACATAAAAATATAGTCAGACTGTGAACTCTAAAATAGAATAAGCTATTAGTCTAGTAATTTTAAAACCAGTTTAAAAAAAAAAAAAAAAGAAATCACCATTGCCACCCGGTAGAATCTTAGGGCAGGCTTAACACTGATGAGTAACTAACATTTCTCTTGTGACCTGAAAAACCCTTCAGCTACCTCTCTTAAATACTACAAAATAAGTTTCCTAAGACTAGAATCCATTTTACATAAAAAGAAAGTGAAGAGGTAAAGTTTTATTAAAAATCTTTTAATATGAATGTTTAGTACCTAATGAAAATAGAAGAATTTCCAAGCATGAGTTTTCTACTTAATAGCAATTGACTCTATACGATATGTTTTACATTGCTTCGTTCTTTGTGTCTTAAACAGGAGAGCCAAATTGAAAGCTGACCGATACTGCAAGTGATGGAGACAATTTTGTATTGTATGGGGGTTTGTTGTTTTGCTGGGATTAATTGTTTGTTCATTTGTTTTTGTCCTAAATAAAAATAGTCATTATAAGTTGGCTTTTACAGAGTTCTTTAGTCCTTTGAAATTCCTGCTTAATTTAGTATCTAGTTTGACCAAGTCTGATCAAGTTTAATCTAGGTCCTTCATAGGGTAAGTGTACCCACTTGAAGGACTTGAAGAATTCTTATTTTCTGAATTCCCTGTCATCCTTCAGAAAAGGCATTCAGGCATTCCCCTACTGCTGCAGGCTCCTGCTGTACTGCCTTTCTTTATCTTGGTCTAGGCTTGATCTGTACAGTGAGAGGAACATAGAGCACAAGTAAAGCTTTGATACTCTTTTATTTCTTTCTCTCTCTCTCTTTGTTTTGTTTTTTTGGGGGGGGTTGTTTGTTTCATTTTGTTGTTTTTTCCTTCTGTCTTCATTGTTTGTTTGATTGCTTGCTTGCTTGCTTGTTTTGTGGTCCTGTTGTGTATAAAGGACATTTCAAGGCCAACTTGGGTTGCATGAGACCTTGTCTTAAAAAAGAAAGCAGATGAATAAGAGGAGGTTGTAAAATAATAACCACATCACACCTGAGACACTAAGCACCCAGCATTCAGTTCTTGAGACTGACTGGGTACCTCAATAGTTGGAATAATCCAAGAATAGCTGAGAGTAGCTGTCTCACTATGGGGATAATGACCCACATACACTCATTTCACATGTTGGGATGCTCCCAGAAGCCCAGGAAATGTCCTAGAGCCTGTGGTCCCTGTACCATTATAAAGGCTTGGAAATGCTGATTCTGCTAGTAGCAAAGGAACCAGCAGTGTGAATCAACACAGCACAAGAGGGAAAGCCAAGAGACAAAAGAGACCGTCAACAGTGTGGGCCTTCCCACATCTGGGAAATGAGGACAGTTCTTCAGATGAGGCTTTCTAATCTGCTGGTTTGTGGCAAATTGACATTAAAATCAACCATAATCAAAAAGAAAAAGCTTCCCTAGCCTGCCAGACCCTGCCTACTTTTGGATTTTGTGTTCCATGCAACTCCAAATCTAGTCGTAGTGTTCAGGACCTAGTGTGTGCTTTACGTAGGAGCTCTTGTAGGAGAATTAGCCCATTTTGTCCCTGTTGTAGCATTGCCACAACACTGTCCTCCAGCATCTGAGCTTGGGACTGGGAACCCATTCTTAACCCTCAGTCCAGGCTGTTGGGCTTTGTAAGGGACATATTTCAGTGTCTCCGCAGGACAAGGGTAGGGCTACTAGTAACATACTTCCTCACAGCAGCAGTCTGCCCCAACCAGATGTCAGCTAACCTAAAATGCCAACATTTCAAGGCTGTAAAAACCTGCAAACTCGCATGATCATCTGGGCTCTGCCTCCTTTCCAACACCACAAAATAACACAAAAAAGTTACAGAACAAAATGGCGACCCATCTGTAGTCTTCAGGAACTATCCTTAGATACAAGGCCTAGCAAATACAACATTAGACCCAAAGTTTGCATTTTAAGAAAACCTCCAAGTATATCTCCAAGTAAACCTGAAGCAAGTGACAGAAACCACATTGGGGGTGGGGGGGATGAGAACACTAAAAGATGGAAAGATATGCTGAAGGATTGACAGAATTGTGTTACCCAATGCAATCTAGAGATACAGTGCAATACTCATAAAAACACCATAATGTTTTTTTACAAACTTAGGAAACAATTACAAACTTGTATGAAAGCATAAAAGACTAAATTATGCAACCCTCAGCAATATCATAGAGCCCAGTCTCACACTATGGAGCCATAGTAACAAGAACAACAAGGTACAGACAAAAGGCCACCAAGAGATGAGTAGAGCATTCAGACCATAAGCTTATGTACATTACATTGTCAAAGTTGTCAAAAACACATTGGACAAAATACTGCCTCTTTAATAAACCATTCTGGGGAAACTGGATTTCCACACACAGAAGTTAGGTTCACATCATTCATCTTGTATAAAGGTCAAAATGAATTGAAGATGACAGTGTAAGACCTGAAACTGTAACCACTGGGGGGAAATAAGTGAAAAGGATCCAGGACTACAGGATATAATCCCAAGAATTGATAATGGAATTACATAAAATCTAAAATTCTGAACAGCCAAGGAACAATCACTGGGGAGAAGAAAGCCTACTGAATAGGGGAAAGAACGAAAAACAGCTCATTACACATCAGACAGGATTAATACCTAGAATAATAAACTTCAAAACTTACACAAGTGATACATTCAATAAATGGAATGGTCTAAATAGACAGTTCTCAGGAGAAGGCATGCAACTGGCCAATAAGTAGTTGGAACTCACTCAACATCCTGAGCTAATAGGGAAATGCAAATTACAACTGCTTTTGAGATTTCATCTCCAATAAAGCTTATCATTAAGAAAGCATGCTGCAGAAGATGTGAGGAAAGAGGAGCCCTTATTCACTGATCACGGGAATGCAGACTGATGCAACTACTTTAAAGAATCATACCGGGTGGGAGAGGCAGGCTGAAGAGGGATCAATGGTTAAATGCACTTGTTGCCCTTGCAGAGGACCTGGGTTTGGTTTCCAGCAGACACGTGTTGGCTAACCACAATCTAACTCTAGTTATAGAAGATCTGACACTTGGCCTCTGTCCACTGCACACACCTGCGTACAGACAGACATGCAGACAGAACACCATTCCAGGTGTGGTGGCACACACCTTTAATACCAGCAAATACAGAGGTTGGTGGATCTCTTGAGTTCGATGGCAGCCTGGCTTACAAAATAAGTTCCAGGACAACACTGTCTCAAAAAAAAAAAAAAACAATACTAATAATAATAAACCTGTTTTAAATATCAGTGTATATTCCTCAAAAACTTGGAAATAGAGCTACCATATGACTTAGCCATACCACTTGAGTATAGACACCAACAACCAAGCAACATGCCACAGAGATACCTTCCCACCCATGCTCATTGCTTCACTATTCACCATAGCCAGGAAACTGAACCAGCCTATGTCCTCATCTATAGATCAGTAGATAAATGTAGTGCAAACACACTGTGGAATCTTAAACAGCCATACAGGAAAGTGCAGTCACGACATTAACAAGAAAATGCACCCAACTAGAAATCATTAAGTTTTTAAATTAGCCAGACTCACACAAATACTACCTGTTTTATAACTCTGAATTTAATTTAGGGTTATGTGTGTGTGTCATGATATAGGAGGAAGAGACACAAAGGGAGGTGGAAAATTAGTGGAACGCTTGTAATAGGAAAGCAGAAAAAGGAGACTAATGGGGTGAGTGAGAACAAAGCATAATATGTATGAAAATGCCATGGTGAAAATTAATTTTAAAAAAGAAAACCATTCCGAAAAACACTACCATCAAAAGATAGACCCTTGATATCAAATGCTTGCTTGGTACTCAAGACAGTGCCTGCCAATTGAGTTTCCTGGAACAAACACTCCTTGTCTGCATGTGTGTACATAGTGTATTCTTGGGTCTTTGTCAGCCTTGTATTCTCCAATTTCCTGCCCTTATTAAAATGTATAGGCCTAATTACAGGTCCTGAGAAGATTAAAAAGAAAGAAAGAAAGAAAGAAAGAAAGAAAGAAAGAAAGAAAGAAAGAAAGAAAGGAAGAAAGAAAGAAAGAAAAAAGAAAGAAGAAAATACGTATTGTACTATGGAGTAAATATACCAGTGAAGGTGGGCAATAAATGTAGATAACAGATCTGCCCAGTTATCTGCACCATTGCTGCTAGAATATCAAAGTCAGTCTAGAAGAGTGGCAGAGGTTGAATCAAGTGTCATAGAACACTAACCTATCATGCCCACGGCCCAGGATTCACCCCTACTTGGTGGTGTGGAATAAAGGCATCTAAGTGTTCTTTACATCTCACACCTCAGGTTAATTGTGAGGAATCCTGCTTAAACTATTAAAGAAACTCCAGACTACGTATTGCCCTGATGAGGCAGTCTAGTAGCCTTATCAAAAATAAGATTATTCAAAGTAAAAACCACTGACCTGAGAAAAAGTGCCCACATTATTCAGATTAAATCATGTCTAACTGTATAAAAGATCACTGAGGTATATAGACATTTCTAAGAGGAAATATATGTATAGTATAAAATATTCCTATTGAAAATAATACTTGAAGTGCTCTGAAATCTTTGCAACTAATGACAATCACATATTTTTAAAAACTAATAACATGCTAGGTACAGTGGTAAATACATATAATCCCAGGATTTGAGGGGTGGAGCCAGGAGGATGGGGAAATACAGTCTGGGTTACATGATACTCTTAAACAAAACAAAATCAACAAAAAGTAACTTCCCAGGATTGTTTTTATTTTTTACCTTTGAGGGGTTTTTTGGACAAGTACCTTAGGCTGAACTCAAATGTACTATGTGTTGAGGCTTGTCTTGAACTGATCTTCATGCTTCCACTTCCCAAGTACTGAGACTGCAGATGTGTGCCACCATGCCTGGCTTGCAGCATCTAATATTAAAATCACAGTAATGTGGAAACTAAAGTCACTAAAACTGAAGATGTGAGCCAGTGAGTAGGCAAAGAATTAGAGTTCAGGTTGGTGTGAGGTGCTATTGAAGATCATTGCAGAGATGCTTTAGTGATGGGTCCCTGATAGACAGGTACAGTAGAGCATTTCAAACTAGCATTGGCATCCTACATTATTCCTACATGAATGAAAGTTGAACTCACACTGGAAAAAAAATCAAAAGGGGCATTATGTGGGAAAATCAAAGCATTTCTTTTGGATATTTGTCATTTTCCATTGATTCTCCAGGCTAGCTTTGAACTCCTGGGTACCTCCTGCCTGTTTTCCAGGTAGCTGGAATTAGAGGTCTAAGAACATATCTATTCTTTCTCCTGTAGTTCTATCCTCACCCTGCTGTAACTGTACTCAAGAGCTGAGAGGAATCATACTTGTGGACCTTCTATTTCATTGCTTAGTGTCACAAACTAATACTAAATGCAATGGCATTTTCTTTTCTGGGATTGTCATGTCAAATCAAACTCTAGAGATGAAGTTTTCACAGCCAGATCTTCGATTCTCAGCTATACAACAGATTTTATACTATGTATGACATTGAGCTGGCTAGTTTAATGTCAATTTAATGCAAGCTAGATTCACTGGAAAGGTGGGAAACTCAATTGAGAAAATGACTCTAAGATTCAGCTGTAACGCATTTTCTTAATTATCAATTTATGAGGGAGTGCCCAGCCCGGTGTGGGTGGTGCCAGACCTGGGCTGATGGTTCTGGGTTCTATAAGAAATCAGTCTAAACCTGGGCGGTGGTGCATGCCTTTCATCCCAGCATTCGGGAGGCAGACGCAGGTGGATCTCTGAGTTTGAGACTAGCCTGGTCTACATACACAGTGAGTTCCTGGACAGAGAAAGCCTATCTCCTATCAATATATATGTACAGTCCACTATGTTCCCTAAAGTATCAAATTTATGGAATAATGCAAAATTCATTTATTCTAACTCTAAAAGTTTCCAAGGTCCAAGAATAGTCTCAAATGAGACTTGGGTAATCACTTCACTATGAGAGTCTATAAAATCAAATAGCAATTTACAGACTCCCAACATACAATGGCACAGAATACACATTTCCATGCCAAATGGAGGAATGGGGATACGGAAGCATGTGTCTTTCACCTGCATGGATTTCTATGCACCAGTTCATGCCTTTTACCAATGGATGTCAAAAGAGGATAGCTTATCCATTGGAATTGGAGTTATAGACAATTGTGAGCTGCCATGTGGTTACTAGGAATTGAACCCCAGTCCTTTGGAAGAACAGCCACTGCTCTTAAATGCTGAACTATCTCTCCAGCCTCTAATTTTAAAAAAATGATACAGATAGAATGTCCAGAAATAAGCCCATATACAGCCAACCAATCGTTGACTATACAATTGTAGGAAATAGTTTCTTTATAGATAGTGCTATGAAAACTGATATCTATATGCAAAACATGTCCCTGTATCTCTGCCATATACAAAAACACAATGAAGCTATATCTCAAAATAATATAATGATAACACAGTACTACTAATAATGAAGTCTTGCCTATCTGTAGGATGGTGGAACCTGGAGGATTTTATACCAGTTTAAATAAGCCACATACCAAAGGACAAATGATACATGATGCTATTCATATGATGAATAGAAACAATCAAGGTCATAGAAGCAGAGTAGAGGAGAATGGTAGCTGCCAGAGGTTGGAAGAAAAGGTAGTCATCAAAGGTTGGGGGAAGAATTTGTCAAAGGTGTAAAGTTCCAATTGTATACAGTCAATAAAACTTGTCTACTCTACATACAGTTAACAATAAGTATTATATCTTATAATTTTGCTAAGAAGGTAAACTTCAATTATTTAACACAAAAAAATAAATACAACTTCAGAAAGCAACTTGGGAGTGAGAAATCAGTTTATTATATAGGGAATAGTGATTATTTTATGTGGTTTCACTTATCTCTGAATTCACCAACTTGTATATGTTAATTATCTATAGATTCTTCTGAGAATGTACAAAATATTTCAAGATCTTAAAGATGAGGTAAATTAGAGCAAAAAAATACAAGGTGTTCTCTGGGGGGAATATATTTTGATATATTGCTACTAGTCACTTTTCTGTAATTATAATGCGATATCTCCTACTGGGTAATTTAAAAGGAATTTATTTACCTTTTAGTTCTGGAAGATTTGAAAACGTGGTGCTTGGCCCTGATGATGGAAACATGAATGGCATCACAGGGTTAAGAGCGTGTGAAAAGAAGAAAGAATATATGGTTATTCCAGAACCCAAAGAGACTGGAGTACCATGACAGCTATATTAATCCCTTCTGAGGGAAGATTCCTAATGACCTAGTGACCCCCTACCTGATACCCATCCTTTAAATGTCCTATCAACTCTGGATATTATCATAATATAAAGTTCCCATGAGTATTTGGTGGGGGCATACTTAAATCATATGCAAAGCATAGTACATCCGTGGGTAGGGAATAGCTTTTTATGACAGACAGAAAATAATACATGAAGTTTTCAAAAAGCTCATTTTTTACTAAACAGACAAAAGACAAATCCTAGTATTTTAAAGAAAATATAAAACCCTATAAGTACATGGGAAATATTCAGACTTATCAACAGTGGTGGAGTGCTAATGTTTAACCACTGTCTCTCCCAGCATGAAAGCACTACTTTGGAGTGTTTGCTCACTTATGCAGGATAAATATCACAGAGTACTCAAGGTGCCCCCTATGAAGCCACTGCAAACAACTGACTCATGAAAGCGGGTTCTAATGGCCACCACATTTGTAATCATAGAATTGCAAGATAAAACTACCATGAAATAAGGGCTGGAGAGATAGCTCAGTGGTTAAGAGCACTGACTACTGTTCCAAAGGACCTGAGTTCAAGTTCCAGAACCTACATGATGGCTCACAGGGATCTATAATGAGATCTGGTGCCATCGTCTGGTGTGCAGGCATACATGGAGGCAGAATGCTGCACATGCAATAAGTTTAAAGAAACTATCATGAAATAGCATTTCAGTCAACAGACTGATGATAATTAAAAGCCAAACTGACATAGTATTAGCAGAGCACAAATGGAAGGAGTCTCTTTAGCTAACTATGAGAGTGTTTCACAATTTGTTTATTTGCTTTCTTGAGGTTTTTGTGTTTAAGATAGATACCATTGGTGTCTAAGGATGGCTTTTGTCTCTTCTGATATAATTCTGATCAAATAACATACATATTTATGGTTGGTTTAGTCATGTTTGTGTATCTCTTAGTGATCCAAAAACAACCCCCTAAAATTTTATGTTAGAGCCTAGAGAACAGGGGAAAAACTTACCAGCAATATTCTGAGATGCCTAAGGTATTACACATAATCTATGGTTCTCCGAAGGTCTCTCCCAAATTGAAGAGTTTCCAAATATGGCTTGAACAGTGTCTTTATCATGTCTACCTACATGGAGAAAATAAGACACAGAAAGTAAAAACCGAAGCAAGTGTGGTTGAAGAGAGAAAAAAAAACAAGTGTATGGAATCCAGGTTAGCGTTGAACTACATTTGCCCATGAATCTTCAGCTCGGTAGGTAGTCAGTCAGTCAATCATGTAGCTACTATGCATCTTCACTATGCCAGGCATTGTGCTTGATATTGCAGATATGATGCAACCATCAGACAAATAATGAAGTTATTATTCAATAATTAAAGTGTGCAAACCACCAGTAAGGAAAAATACAGGATATTTGAGGATTGACAGGAGGAACAAACTTGGTAGAGAGATGTAGGTCAGGGGGCCTTCCATGAGTACATGCATTAAGATGAACTCATTGCGGGAATAATGACTGGCACAGGAAAACATGCCATGCATAAGAGGAACCCTGTGAGTATTCTGAACCCTGAAATAGGCTGGAGCTGTGTTTTTAGATGAGTTGCTTTCTGACTGAGACAATAAGTCAGGTGTAGTAAAAAGCAGAGGTAATGAAGCTTCTGATGTGGGTCTTCCTAGATACATTTAAGATTCTGGATTTGACTGCAATGTCATTAGGAAACTGTTGAAAGACAGGAAGTAATGTCATATTTTCATTTTTAAAAGGTTATTCTGACCAGGTAAAGCAGTGCACACTGGGAGAATCTCAGTACTTGGGATACAAAGGCCAGCATTGTGGCATAGATCTGTAATTCCAGCACTAGAAAGGCAGAACTGGGTAAACTGTACAAATCTAAGGCAAGCCTGGTCTATATAGCAAGTTCTAGGCCAGCCATAGCTTCATTCTAAAACCCTATCTCAACACACACACACACACACACACAGCTAAAGGCAAAGGGAAGGAGAGGACAAAAGTGACATAAAGAGCCTCTTTTATACAGGCTTCAATCCTACCCATGAGGGACAGCCCAAATGAAATCACCTCTTAAAGGCCCTACCTCCAAATGTCATTTCCTATGTTCAATCTGATCAAAACCACAAACCAGACATGGATAAACTACTTGAGTGGGAGTTAAATACGGATTACTTTCTTTTTAGTTGTAAAGTTGAGGTTTGGCATTAGTGTATTACTAGTGTGTATATCTTTGAGAGGACCTATTTTTATGCTTGTACATATAGTCAATTATACCTTTTTATACATATATTAGTGACACAATTGTTGTAATTAGTTTCACTTGTCAATGTGACCATCATACTTCTCACTTTTCTAAGAAACACATACAGATGTTACATAGGATTAAAGAGAAGCTTTGTGGCTGGCATTAGCTTAGACCTCACACCAAAATGAGATTTCATCTTTTCCTCTGGAGTGAATCTGTACATCCAGTTGGTGGTGGTGTTTTTGTTCTTTGTCTCTTTTGGGGGCCTGTCACCCAGCTCCCAAATAATCATACGTGGGAATTAATTCTTACTTATAAATGCCTGGCCTTAACTTGGCTTGTTTCTTACCAGCTTTTCCTAACAAGTTACTCCACCTACTTTTTTCATGCCTGTGGGACTTTGCCTTTTCTAACTTCTGCAAATTTACTTTCACTCTGTAGTCAGAGGCTGGCTGTGAGGCTGTTTGGCTAGGCCCTTCTTTTCTTGCTCCTTGATCTCTCTTACTTCCCGATCACTCTTTTTCTCCTTCAGTTTAGTCTCTCTGCCTGTCACCCCCACCTACCTTTTCTCCTGCCTTGCTATTGGCTGTTCAGCTCTTTATTAGAGCAATCAGGTGTTTTAGGCAGGCAAAATAACAAAGCCTCATATAGTTAAACAAATGCAACATAAAAGAATGTAACACATCTTTGCAACATTCAAACAAATGTTTCACAGCATAAACAAATGTAACACACCTTTTTAAAGGCTTACTTATTTATTATGTAAGTGTTCCTCCTGCATGTATGCCTGCAGGCCAGGACACTGGATCTCATTGTAGTTGGTTGTGAGTCATCATGGGATTGCTGGGAATTGAACTCAGGACCTCTGGAAAAGCAGCCAGTGCTCTTAATCTCTGAGCCATATCTCCAGCCCCAACACATCTTAAAATAACATTCCACAACATCCAGTTACTTGACAAACACAAATTGCATCCTGGGCACACTGCCAGTTTCTAGGATAAAAGGGCATGATGGGTGAAGGGTGCAGCTGGAACTGAGCCAGTGCCTTCACCACTGGCAGCCTGGTGGCAGAATTTATAAAAGCCTCCCCATCCTTGACTAGTTTCTCTACACTTCTTCAGAAGCTCTCCTTTGGAGGTGCATTCTCTGGAATACAAGCCGTCATGCTACAACTGTATTTTGAAGGCTCTTCCAAGATCTGCCTATTTGGGAAAACATGGTCAAAGGCAGCAATTATTTCTACTTCGGGTCTTGCCATCCAGGGCTGTCCACAGTGAGCACATTGCTGTGGAAGGCAGATGTGAATGAGAGAGCCAAGGAAAGACCAAGTCATGCATGTACTATGACTCTTAACAGCTATCTACCTATTAGGTAAGTCACTCCTCCCTTAGAGTGGCATGAATGGAAGAACTTGGGGAGAGAAAGGTCAAGCTCTTGTCCCCAAAATATCTGATGTAGGTCTTGGTTTTGTGAGGCCCGAAGCTCATTGGATTTGGGTGGTTCTTTCTGAAGAAAAGAATACAAAATTAGAAGCATAGAATTTAGTAGAAGAGCAGCAAGCTCAAGGAGCGGAGGAATAAGCAAGCACCATGGGTTCACAGTAATCCTCTTTTTGCTATTTAGAAGATGATACACATTTTTCTGTGGATTCACCTCACAAGCAAAGCAAGTCGAGCTTTGTAATAAGGCTTCATCAAAACAGTGTAGTGGCTCCTGGAAACGTAGAGTCCAGCTATCAGACAGGCTCTGTCTGGGGTTGACTGACCTAACATCCTAACAATGTCACCAATGACCCAGTTTCTTTTAATCTTTCCACTGCTCTGTCCACTATCTATTTGATCTTAGGTGGCTCCCTGCAAGTTTGAGCCATGAAAGCTAGTAGCACCAGACTGCAAACTTCTTCTTTTCCCTCAGAAGAGGAGGCAACTGCTTTGACTATACAGCACCAGTTCTGGGCTTCACATCTGTTAGATACAAGCATCTGGGTAAGACCTAAGCCAAGCATTTCAGCAAGTGGAACAGAGCAATTGTAAATGTCATAAGCCAGTCAGGGCCCACCCACAGAGGGATGGGGTTATGTCTCATTCAAATCCTGGAGCTGCTACAGGATGGGAATTGAGATCTGTGAAACAGCCACAAGATAAGCCAGAGAGTAGATTCTATACCAAATTTTTCAAGATATTTATATTTGCCTTCCATTTTTACTTTTTCCTGCTGGGAGGCTGAAGCCTCTAAAGGACAATAATCTTTTTATTCACTCTTTTCCTAGTGCCAGTGTTAAGTGCTCAATCTGAGAGAATAAATTTATTACAAACTAGAAACATTAAATAGCTAATTTATGTAAAGTAGGTGACTTTTAATGTTAGAACAGTTTAGCTACTGTAGGATGTAAGTTGAAAGGAACCTTCAGGGCTAGTGCTGTAGCTTAATTATACCCAAAGTTCATGTTTAGAATGTACAAGGCTCTGGCACATATGAAAAAAAAATACATGACTAATATCCTGGTCAGAAGTATATCTCATTAAGGAAAAAGTAAAACAGGACAGGATTTTTTTTAGTGGCTCTTCAAATGTAACATATTTGAATTACCATTGATTTAATAATGCCACTATGTTTCACAAAGAAATAAAGACAGTACAAATGTAAAGATTATTATAAGTTTATTTTGACATTTATAGAGGGACAATTATATTAAATGTGAGCTCTAAATTTTTAGTTTTATAACAAAAAAGTATCACTTTATCGCAGGCTGAAGTGATATTTCACATTTTTTAAGACCAAAAGAGAAAAAACCAAGTAACACCATGGTATGGTAAAGCAACCAGAAGAAAGAAAAAAAATTTGCTATGACCTCTGGTTTTCTATTTTCCACCTCTTACCACCTATATTCATTCCCGAAAGACAGACAAAAACTTCTCTTAAAACATGAGACATTTGCCAGGTGTTGGTGGCTCATGCCTTTAATCACAGCACTTAGGAGGCAGAGGCAGGTGGATCTCTGTGAGCTACAGAGTGAGTGCCAGGACAGGCTCCAAAGCTACACAGAGAAACCCTGTCTCGAAAAAACAAACAAACAAAAAAATGTGACATTTTAAATATACCAGGCCTTTTAAAATTAAATGTAATTGTTGGGCAGTAATCGCACCCACCTCTAACCCTAGCACTCAAGAGGCAGATGGATCTCTATGAGTTCGAGGCCAGCTTGGTCTATAGTATTCCAGGACAGCCAAGGATACAAAGAAAAGCCCTGTCTTGAAAATTTTTTTAAAAATATATATACATATACAATTAATTAATTTGAGATTGTGGCAGAGGTCTCACAGGCTTACTACAAGCTACAATCCTGAAGTTCTAGGATTACAGGTATCTAAAAACATAACCAGCCCCTCAAAGGTTTTTTTTTTTTTTTTTTTTGCTTGTAAGGACATAGATATTTAAATTTGGTAAATTATTCTGTTAAAACACTTATTTTCAAACTGAAGTATTACCTCCATATTTCCTTTTTTTATTTTTTATTTTACATGTTGATCCCAGTTCCCTCTCCCTCCCTCTAACCCTCTCTGCCCCCTCATATGCACCCTGACCACCCTCCCCTCTCATCCCCCCCACCCCAATTCCACATGTAGGGCAATGCCATCCACGTGGGGTCATGTAGATCTTCAAATGACTTGACAGATATACATGACCTCCATATTTCTTACCTTCTAGTACAAACTGTTATTTATTAAATCAAGTTATACTTTCTGGGTAAGTGTTATATTGCATTTAGGGTGGGGAGATTAGGTTACAATTATTTTAAACCAAAGCTCCACTTGGGGAACCTAGGCATGGTAGGTAGGAGATTCAGATGTCTATGGCTTGCCAAGGACTTCAGCTATTCCCATAACAATTTAAATACGCTGACTTTTGCATACTAAACAGGTTATTCAACTCTCAGACTTGATATTCTCTGTAGAGTTTGAATAATCGCCCTTTCTACACACATAATCATTATTCACATTTATAATCATCTCTATAAACATGTCAGTATGATTAAATCCCTATAAGGTTTTCTAAAGTCACATCTTGCTCTGACTTTCTATACAATTTTAGCACTGGAAATTGAGTACATTTTAAACAAAGATTAGACACCTGTAATATTAGCAACTTGAAAGTCTGAGTTTTAATCCAGCCTGGTGAAGCCTTGACTCAAAAAATAAATAAGAAGCTAGGGCAAGAAGTCAGGAATATAAGCCTCATTTGCCATCTGCAAAATCCTAGGTGGAGTGCCCAGCACTGCACACTCAATAAAAGGTGTGTGTGTGTGTGTGTGTGTGTGTGTGTGTATGGTAGTGCACACTCAATAAAAGGTGTGTGTGTGTGTGTGTGTATGGTGGTGGTGGTGGTGGGAGACATACATAATATGCTATACTTTCAAAGAAGTAGAATTACATTTTAATTTATCTGAAAAGAAAAGCCAACAGTATATGGCAGGTTTTGAATGTTTTTATATGGAGATTGTGCACATGGTTCTCATGCCAAGTTATGTGAACTTTCTTTATACAGCATCTCAGTTTGTTAGATCACCTAACTACCAAGTACTATTTCATAAGGAAAATATCTGGTGACATGCTAAATTGCTCTCAATAGTAATTAAGGCAAATTAATTAAGTAGCCATTTGGTTTGGTAATAGCTGCTTAAAAACGGGATTCTCTACTTCTAATAGACATATTTTGAGCTTTGTGGTAGTTCAGCAGATTCAACACTGAATATGTGTATTTAGCGTTATTAAAATTCCCAGAGTGAAGTCCCAGTCATTATTAAAATTCCCAGAGTGAAGTCCCAGGGCTCTACAATGGCTCTTGTCTTTAATTTGCTTTCCTTTATTTACTTCTGACTTCATTTATTTCTCCCACATTCATCTGCTCAAGTCACACTGGCTTTTCTGGTATGCTGAGTATGCTGGACTGAATTTTCTGGTATAGCTGAATGTGTTAGTTAAAATTTTAACTAACAAAAAGGGGTGGGGTGATAGCTCAATGGTAAAAATTAATCAACAATCAATGCCTCCTGATTTCTTTAGTTACTGCTTCATGTCCTTGTTTTGTTTCTTTGTTTTGTTTTGATTTTTGGTTTTGGTTTTATTTTTATTTATTTATTTTTTTGTTCTATGAAATGCTTTTATTTTGATATGGATATACATTAGTTTCTCAGTTTTGGTTAGCATGAAGAAATGAGCTTGAAAGTCCTGCAGTAGTATAACTTAGCACTACAATTTTTAAAAAAAACAAGTTGTAGCATTTCACTTATTAAAGATGCATATATATATATATATATATATTAATATATTACATATATATATATGGCTGAGCCATCTCTCCAGCCCTAAAGATGCATTTTTAACTTATACATAAAACATGAAACTGCATGAAGATGCAGTACAGCATAATGCTCTGATATGTAATATACAACACGTAATCTTCACATCAGGTTAAGCACATCCATCATTTCTGCGATAAAAGCCTTTATGTTCAGTCTCAGTCTCATGATTCAGCCTTTGCATCGAAACCATCCCCGGCCTCCAGGATCCTTTCCTTGGAATCCACGAGGCTGATTTCCACCACTTACTGTTCAAAGTCAGCCTTTTCAATAATGTCTATCCTGTCCTGCTGCTAAGAATTCTAACCGCCTGCCCAGTCTCTACATTCTCCATACCAGTGGCTCAGTTCTGCTCTGTGGTATTTACAGCCTCCTGTTTGCTTTGGACTATGCTCACCCGCCTGGTGTTTACTGTCTATTTCTTATCTAGTAACTTTCATAAGGAGAAACCTTTATGTCTTGTTTTTCCTTTTTTTTTTTTTTTTTTTTTTGCTTCCTCATATTCAGTATCAGAATAAAACTGTGTGTCGCAGTAGTCCCTGTTTTGCTTTGTTTTGGAAGTGAAGTCTTACTTTGTGGTTTGGACTGTTGGAAATGACGCAGGCAGTGACTGAAAATAGCTATCTGCCTCAGGCTCCTGAGTTTGGGGCCTACAGCTGCCCTCAGGGTCCCCCTTCAAAAAGTGAGTATTTTCCAATCTTGCTTTACCTAAGCAGGAGCCCAAGTATGTGCCAATCCTGTGCTGTTTCAATGCCTAAACTTCTTCAAAGAATACAACTTGTTTATCATCTGCCTCCAAATTTAGGTGGTGAAAACCACATCAATTTCTAATTTCCCAAACTTCAACAAGGGCTGTTTGCATTTTCTAAGCAATACAACTGATAAAAACTACAATTACACACACACACACACACACACACACACACACACACACACACACACACACACACACACGGAGAAATACACAGATCCCCAGCACTGGGATATGGTGGGGATTAAATAAAAATGTACTGTTTCTGAGTGAGTTTTAGTGCAGCATTACGTCCCCCACCCCCCCAAACTTCTTGAGAAGTCTGTGGTTGAAGCAGAAGATGTAAATCCAGAAAGTAAGTTTTCTTGTTGGATTCTAGGTAATTCACCCTATTACAGCGAGTTTTGACCAAGGATGGTACAAAAGCCAAGCAAATATTGTACTTCTGTCAATCTGCTTTTCACAAATAGACTATTAAGATACCTGTCCTAGGGTTAGGTCAGCTTGGCTAACCTGAAGTCTCATGAGCTAAACTCATGAGTTGAGTTAACTCAACAAATACATAGAGGAAGGCCCCAAACCCCTCCAACCCCAGAAATGAGACCGAGAAATGAAAGTCCAAATATTAGGATTTAGCAGTGCCCGTGAAATCCCAGGCGGGTAATTCACAGCCTAGAGTGACTGCGTGATGAAACATCCCATCCTGGCCCTGACACCTGCCCCTCTGGCAGTGACCCCCCCTAGGGCAGGATGGATAGGGTGACTCACTTGGGGCCAGCCTTCCCCGGAGGGCAAACAGGGTCGACGTCATGCTCTGAGACTCTGGGTCCGTTTGGGGGCTTAGGAACCAGGACACCCAGGAGCCAACCTCTCCAGAGTCAGCGGGGTCCCGCCCCAAGGCACCCTCCTGCACCCGGGAGCCCAGCCCTGGCAATCCAAAAGGGTGAAGTCCTGGGGAAGCGGGAAGCCCCGCCCAGGGGCGGGTCTAAGATTGGACGAAACCACTGCCTGGAGTGCGGGGGGCGGAGCCTCTCTCTGGCCTTGTGCGCGGACTCCGCTCTGGGGCCCGCGGCTCCTCCCTCTTCGGCGTGTCCCCTGCAGTGTATGGTGTGGCCCGGGGTCGCTGGTCACGCGTCGGGGGTGCGGCCTGCTCCTGGCCTAGGTGGTCCCCGCCGCGGCTGCTGAGGGAGTCCCCTGAAGCGGCGCGGGCAGCTGGGAAGATGCTGGGTCCACGTCTCTTCACCTGGGTCCTCCTGGCCGCGGCTGTCACCTGCGCCCGGGCACAGCAAGTGCCGCCGGTGGGTGAGCTTCAGCCGAGGCGCAGATGGGGGTGCAGGTGCAGGCGCAGGCGGGGGAGGGAGCAGCTGTGGTGGCGCGGGAGGGGGCCAGGGACACCTGCTCGCCGGCTGCATCTTCCGGGGACCCGAGGTTCAGTCTCGCGGAGCATGGATGCAGACACGCCTTGTTGAATCCCGGACGGAGTCGCTTTGGTGCTCTCTGGACAGAGAACACAATTTAGGGAAGTTCTTGCCTCCACGAAGGACTGGGTAGGACTCACTCATTCTCCAATCTTGATGTTAATATTTGAACTACCAGCTATAGGCAAAACTCTCTGGAGAAAAAGGTACCGATTAGCATATTCTGCCTGGTTGCCAAGTGCTTTCTCCTGAAGAAGCTGTGGGTCACAAGCAGTTTTAGCCCAGATGGTGGGAGTCGCCCCCCCTTCCCGCCCCCGTCGTTTTCATGCCCAGTCACGGAATGTCCGTCCCGTGGTGCTGAGTGATCAAGTCGCAAAGGCCACAGACTTTATTTTCTAAAACCGCAAGAGACAGCGAGGAAGTAGCCCTAGAGTGATAATCTAGCCAGAGGTCACATCATTATTCACAGAAACATTTCTAAATTCTGGCTCTGGGCCCGCAGACCCTCAGCCTGACACTGACACTTCATGAACTGATTCTCTCTCTGTCTCTGTCTGTCTCTGTCTCTCTCTTTCTCTCTCTCTTTCTCTCTCTCTCTCTCTCTCTCTGTGTGTGTGTGTGTGTGTGTGTGTGTGTGTGTGTGTGTGTGTGTGTGTATCTCTGTGTCTCTCTCTTACAAGTTATAGATCTGAAGGCTGTTTGATTTGCTTTGTTTTGGTGCCAGAAAATTTGATAACTAGGAACCTGGATGCACCTTATCTGAGGAAGATAACATGATTTTGAAAAGATGGGGGTGAGGGGATGGAGGAGGGAGGGAAGCAGGATATTATCCAGTTATCAGAGTAAACAGCAGATAAAAGTATAATGCAGAAAATTGTACATATGAGTAATTTCAGTGACCAAAAACCTTATAGTATGTACAAAAGATCGAAAGATTATAAAGAAGAACAAATTGTTTCCGCTAGTATGGATAGAGAATTAATTTTACGAGGTAGGTTGGGATTCTGAGAATTGTTAAAGGTTGTTGTATTTTGGTAGCCTGTGCCTTTAATCCAAAGATTACCAAAGGGACGTACTAATAGTTGGGCAAATTAGGTTTAGTGTTGAAATGGAGGATTGAGAAAGTACCTTTCAACCATGGGTTAAAAAACAACAAATTAAACAAACAAAAAACTTGTTAGAGAATTTGGACTTAATCCATGATTGTTCTAGATTGGGAGTCTTTTGAACGCTGAGCAATTCCTGGATAACAAGTAGCATTCTTTTCTCTTAGCAGTAGAAGGGCGTGTTGTGTTTTGAGCTACATGCTGCTCATTATCCATGTGTGGACAAGATCATGGCCTACGCTTGCTTTGTCTCATTTTAATGTCCCTGAGGAACTTAATCCTCTGAGTGTGTTTGTGTCCAAGAGCAGAACCCAAATGTCTTGGGTCCCACAGGCCTGCCTGGTGTTAATTAAAGTCAGCTGTGAACCGCAGAGTAGGTTCATGTACTAGGGGCTGGTTATTATTATCTGTTAATACTTTGTTTTTAAGCAAAGACATTGTATTGTTTGTTTCCTGATATGTATGTATGTATGTATTTTTTTTTTCAGTGCTAAAGTACTCACCCAGGACCTTTCACATACTAGGCAAGCCCGTCACACCAAGTTATATCCCTAGTTCAAGCAAATATTTGATTTAGTAGTTTTACTCAGAACTGTAGGCGGCATTTTCTTTTGGCCTCCAGCTCACAAATATGGAGACTTCTTATTAATTATGAAAGCTTGGCCTTTAGCTTAGGCTTGTCTCAACTAGCTCTTATAACTTAACCTGTTTACCTTAATCTTCATTCTGTCCTGTAAAAACTCTCTTCCATTTTGCACCTTCTGTTTCCTCTTTGGCTGACTCTGATCTCCTCCATTCCTCCTCTTTGTTTCTTTCCCTTCAAAATCCTACCTATATCCCTGCCTAGCTATTGGCTGTTCAGACTTTTATTACACCAATCACAGCCATACACCTTCATACAGTGTACTAATATCCCACAGCATTTCCCCCTTTTATCTAAGTAAGGAAAGGTTTTAACTCTAACATAGTAAAACTGCATACAATAAGAACAATTATTAGGTAAGAATTAACATTCTCAGTGTTTAGTTCATATGTATTTGGCAGATTCGGAGAAAGCACTGTATTTTCTACTCAATATAAAGTCCAAAGTTTTATACTTATTTTCTAGCATAACTTGTTTTGTCATCCTAAAAATATTATTTTAGACCTTCTTAGATAAACAGCTTAAGCTTTTATGTTTCCCAACCTTATAAACTTTACATCTATTTTTTAAAAATAATTTTTATTTAAACTAAAAACAATCGTATTTTACATACCATAGTTCCCTCTCCCTCCTGTCCTCCCATGCCCCCCACCAACCCCAATCCACTCTCCAGGAAAGGTGGGGCCTCCCATGGGAGATCATCAAAGTCTGTCACATCATTTGGGGCAGGACCTAGGCCCTCCCTTGTGTATCTAGGCTGAAAGAGTGTACCTCCATGGGGAATGGGCTCCCAAAGCACATTCATGCACTAGGGATACATGGTGTAGTTCCATTTCCAGAGGCCCCATAGACTGCCCAGGCCTCCCAACAGACACCCACATTCAAGGGGCCTGATTCTGTCCTATATTAGTTCCATAGCTGTCAGAGTGGGGTCTGTGAGCTCCCTCTTGCCCAGGTCAGATGTTTCTGTGGGTTTCCCCAGCCTGGTCTTGACCCCTTTGAGTATCACTCCTTCCTTTCTGTACCCTTTTCCTTTTATATTATTTTACTCTCTCTCTTTAAAGACTTTATCATCCTTAAACTATGTATTTCTTATGACTGTCTATACCCATTTTCTTTTCTTTTTTTTTAAGCATCTAAGTACATTTTTTAAAAATACTGTATCTATATGTTCAGAGGCAAGAATGTGCCCTCATGCCTATGGGCCCCAGCCTGGAACTAGTCTGTCCACTCCAGGAAATTTCTAGGTCCACACTGCAGTGGGCATTTCTACCTAGTCTCCTGCCACCCAGTGTGTTGCTGGGTGCTCATAACCCATTTCAAGTGCTTGGTAGCAGATCCTCTTAAAAAAGAGCTGTGCCAATGTATGCTACAAGAACCAATTCTACTTACCAGCAGGAAGTAGTTTGGAAAGAACGACGCCCAAATTCCCAAATATTGTGTATAAATGTTTGTTTTCATTTAATTGGACTGTTATATAAAATTAAATAAAATTTTAAAAAAGTAAAAAAAAAAAAAAGAACCAATTCTACTAGGAACTTTTTTTTTTTTTTTTTTTTCATTTTTCTCAGTCCCTGTGTTGATTTGTATGTCCCACTTTGGGCGCCAGATGTAGGTGGCTATTTCTTTTGGCTGCCAGCTCACAAATAATGACATGGAGACTTCTTATTAATTATGAAAGCTTGACCTTTGCCTTAGGCTTATTTCAACTAGCTCTTGTAACTTAAATTAACCCGTTCATATTAATCTATATTCTGTCACATGGCATTACCTCTCTTTCATCTTGCACCTCCTGTTTCCTCTCTGTCTGGTGACTCTGCCCTTTTAGATCCCTTCTCCTCCTCCTTTCTCTCCCCAGAAATCCCACCTATACTTCCTACCTAGTTATTGGCCGTTGAGCTTTTTATTACACCTGTCACACCAATACACCTTCACACAGTGTACAAATACAACACAGAACAATGAATATCAAAATCTAGTCAGTCTACTGGGATCTGATTGGGAAAGTGTTTCCGCGGGTATTCAGTGAACAAGTAAAATAGAGTTAAGACAAAAATCATTAATTCTCCTTACTACCATTTTATTGTCATTAAACTGTTCTCTCATTTAAATTAATGACAAAGATAGGTGTTAGAGGGGATTTGTTTTGTTTTAAAATCTTCACTTTTTTTTTGGTGCTGAGGCACTGTTAAAAAATTTCATTCATTTTGAAGATATTGGGGCCCAATTTCCAAAACATCTTTCAGAGCTACCTAGAAGACAGGTGACTTAATTCTTTGACAGAATAGAAGGCAGTTGTTATTTTTGGGTTTTGTTGTCTTTTTTGTTTGTTTGAATCATTATATGAATGATAAACTGTATGAAATATAGCCAGATATATTTTGGGTGGTTACTAGAATTTCCATATGACCAAATATATTTCAAAATATATAAATAAGGATGAGGGCCAGTTTTAAAAGACAAATGAGTTATATGGTTTAAAAGCTGGGCTTTTAAAAAGTTTCATATTTGAGGCTTTTTTCAGTATATGTCCTCAAGTTATTTTTCATTATTGAGTCTTTGAAGATCCTGTTAACATATAAAGCTGGGTGGTGGCTCATAATCCCAGCCTTTAATTCTAGCATTCAAGAAACAGAGGCAGACAAACCTTGTCTCAAAAAAAAAAAACAAAAAAAAAAAAAAAACAAATTTTATACATATGTA